ATTCAGCCGCTGTTGAAACTGATCAGTTTCAGCAGCGGCTGAATCTGGACGCCAGTTCCGACTTACATACAGATTCAACTTAAGAACAAACCTACAGTCCCTATCTTGTACGTAACCCCAGGACTGCCTGTACTCTAAAACTCTGATTTCTCATGCTCGCTAATGGAAAAACTGATTTTTTTTCTGTCCTATTCTGCATTACCCAGCTGCACCTCCAATGGAGAATTATTAAAATGGCAGCCTTGGTGAGTAAGTATGCAGCACCCTTTGTTCAGTGGAGATGGTGAAACTGTGACAGGTCCTTCCATGGACTGCTTTGATAACTCCTTTTTACAGCATTCAGTATTTATCTAGCCATCTATAGCAGGGGTTCTCAATCTAGTTCTTTCTTACCCTTCTCCCCTCAATATGCCATAAAACCTCCATGGCCCAGCTATGCCACAACAACTGGTTTTCTGCATATAAAAAGCAGGGCTGGCCTTGGGGGTAGCAAGCAGGGCAGTTGCCTCGGACCCCACACCACAGGGGACCTGCAAAGCTACATTGCTCAGGCTTCGGCCCAGGTGGCAGAGTTGAGAGGCAGGGCTTCAGCCCTATGCAGGGGGGCTGTGGCTTTCTGCTCTGAGCCCCAGAGAGTCTAATACTGACTCTGCTTGGTGGACCCCCTGAGATTTGCTCACAGCCCACCACACAGGGCTGAGAATCAGTGATTTATGGCATTAGAATCAATCACTGGAGTTTTCCCTTAAACCCTAGATCGATACGGCCATGGATACGCTTTGAGGGCCAGAACTTTAGCTTCTTAACATTGGTGTAATTCCACTGATGGAGCTATCTTGGGTTATACCAGTGGAGGATTTGGCCCCTAGAGCATAGCAAACTGTGCACACTTGGAATCCTGCTAAAAGCCCATTCAACATTGATCCATCTGGCCACGTTTATGGAGCTGAGCAGGAGGAAAGAAATCTCTGCATCCCATTACCTCCTGTCTGTGCCAGATGTTCACAGCTGTCAGGTAGATTCAACTTCTTTCAGGGGATAACAATGACAGAGGAGAACAAGGCCTAAGACTGACAAGGAGAGGTCACTGTAGTACACACCAGCAGGAGAAGCTTTCACAATAGGGGTATGATAGCAGATTTGTCATGGAAACAAGGTAGTTCTCCCCTAAACATGGTGTTTAATGGATTTGCTGGATACTGAGTTTGGAGGCCATAATCGCAGTACGGCAGAAGTGCCCATGACAGTCCATATCCTCCTGGCATCATAGTGCCAAAAGCCACAGAGACTCCCTCAGCACCAGCAAACAGGGACTCA